CAAGTGTAGGCCTCTCTTCTCTGCCATCTCACACACGTTTACTCAGCTGGCCGCCAGAGCTTTGTTTTCACACAGCAACATGTGTTAACTTAATGCTCTGTAACAGATTTCAAAGGCAAGACTAGCTGGGTCAACAACAGGTAATAGAGCAATTTATTGATTCATTGGCGCCAAAAAGGAAAGAGTAAAAAGAATACCTCTGCGGAAACCGATGAGGAATACACAGGCAGTGATATCCGGTTGTCTATCTTGTTTACTTAAACCCCATCATGTATTATTCTAATGTTTAATTTGGCTTGTAAAGAATAGTGTACATAAAAAGGCTAAGGGGAAAATAAAGTGAGCTCATATTTCTCTAAAGATATCTCAGACTTTGGTACCATTAAGCAATGGCCAAGAATGTGTCTGTAAAACGATTACATAAACCATTACACAGTTCAAGAAAGGCAAAGAGCATAGGCTTTGGGGTTACTTGGCCAACCTGCTCGCCCTCCCTCGCTGAAGAATTTGGTTACACAGTCCCCATGGTTGTTTTCCTGCTTGATTGGATTATGGCCACACACACCTCGAGCTCGGCTTCCACCACCAATCAATGAGGAAATGAGGTGTCAACACACTGGTGTTTATTCAACACTCATTTATTTATCTACCGGAAGCCGAGGCTATAGCTCGACCACAGAAGACACCAGATGAGTGAAGGGATTTCAAATGATGGCTTATTTTTATTAACATTACAAACAAGGGATTTAGTGAGCCAATTATGTTAACGAATAATACATCCGACACATTTGATGTAGTTTTTAAATTGCCTTACATGTACATTTCTGTTGCATTATACAGTTTACATACAATTTAATTTAGTTTAAAATAACATTATATTTAATGACAATAAAATAAAAAAAGTGTGTAACATATAGCAACATTTTGCCCTGCTTCTAATCTCTTTTACAGCCGAGAAGACATAGCTTTGAAACTTCAGGCTGTGCATCCATATGACCGAGCTGAAAGAGCTGGTAATGGGAAGACACCAGGAAGTCTCTAATGCTTCCAGTCAGCATGAAGTGCCATCAAAATAAAATGCTGCACAGTAGCTGCTGCTTTAAAACAACTAGGGCAATTGAAAATTCTCATCCCAATTTATGCCAAATGCCACTTTATAAACATTCTAGCATGCCTGCCAAGTGTCTGCACTGCTTTATGCCCTTTCTCTTAATTGAAAACATTATAGGGGTGCATTACACTCAGGGTTTTTATAAGCTGTGCTATAAAGCCCTAGCAGGCCCTGGGAGGGGAAACTGCCCATTAACTTATAAGGTCCAGGCCTTGGCTTTCTTAATTGACAACCTCTAGGCTACTTTCATCACTTGTCGACTTCATAGCGGCAGCCAATGCTTCCTCCAGGATGCTGTTGCATCTTTGACACGAGGGTGTTTGTGACAAAGAGCAGTCTGCCGCCAATGCCAGCGCGAGGGCTCTAGGCTGTCCATAAAACAAGCACACATTCCTCTCCTACTCCCAGCCTTTAGAGAGGGCTGCATTTAACCATGTAGAGACTGCCTCCCAGAAACACCAGCCAGAATTAAATATAAATACCATATAAAACGATTACAACTTTTGATATGCTTATGCAAGTCTAGACATATCATAAACACATTCTCAAAAAACAGAAAGATACTTAAAGGGGACCTATCATGCAAAAAGCACTTTTTTATGTCTTTTATACATAAATATGTGTCCCCGGTGTGTCGGGGAACTCACGCAACGTCAGAAAATAAAACCCGGAGCTGATCCGGAGCTGATCCAGATTTGCGTCCGATATGACGTAATATCGGAAATGTAGGCTGGCTTTACACCCACGGGCCTATCAGAAACGTTGCCATCAGAAACAATGCCCGACTGTTTTGGACGTAATATGGTCGGTGCATGTTTACATTAGCATTGCTAACACTCAGAGCTAACCTGTACTGCACAGAGCATGTGTGTGAAGAAGCAGGAAATAAAAAGGAACTTACCTTGTGGTATAACCGGCAAGAGAGAAAGCCTTTGAGCTCCATACTGTTTCAGAAATAATCCTTGATAATCCATGATATGGCGTTTCATCATGGCAGAATCTGACGGTAGCATCTCCCGCATGAGCTCGGCCCCCTCCTTTTTTTATTATCAATTTTTTTTTTTTTAAAGCTATATACCCCAAATCAGCACTTTTGAAACAGGAAGTGAAATAGAGGGATATGAGGCATGGCTAGAATGGGGGATCTGTTTGGTATTTTGAGCATAACACTTCATAGACATGTTTTTTATATATTTTTATATATCTGAGACCTATGCTATTGCCTACAAATAGCATGATAGGTGCACTTTAATAGAATGATTTAAAACCCTGCAAGAACAATGCCAGATGTTAAGTAAAAAAGGAAACACCAAGGATGTATTCATTTCTAATTAAGGCCATCACCATAGGCACTAATAGATAAAGACACACACACAGACTGGCGTGACAGTCACTTCACACTCTGATTTAGCAGGATCATCAGGTTTATGCCTCTGGAAATACATGCGTCTTGAATTAGAGCCACATGTCACAATACAGTTGACCTGTATAGACAGACACATTACTAGACTGATAAACTCACATTAAGTTTTTTGTGACTGACATTCAAACTGTCAGAAGTTTCCCATTATATCTTCTATGGGACTTCAGTGACACTTCCAAAAAAGATAGAAGAGCACTGGGCAGCTTTGACTGCTAACCATCTGTCACTGAATTCCATTATGTAAGACTATTATGTCATTACTGTATTCTTTAAAGGAGTAGACCAGTTCATTAATATTGCACTTCAATAAAGTTTGGGCCTTGCAGAAAAAAATTGCCAACTTTTAACCATTGAAAGGCGACATCCTGATTTATAATCCTTAATACGAGTTTAGTTAACAAAACCCTGGATTCTACATTTGAAATTATTATTTGGCTAAACATTGTGAGCATCTATTCATTTGTTTCCTTTCTGAGTTTGCAATACTGTTTATACTGACTATGCCTCAACAACTGAGATGTATTAGACCATTGTGTATTTAATACTGGATTATTTTGCCAATCCAGCTGCGTGGATTTATCGAAATTAATTTATCAGGCCACCCCTTTCGACAAGTTGAATGACAAAACTAATGAGATGAACATTAGACCTGCCTTGCATTATCATGCTAACATGATAAACCCTTAAAGTGCCTCTAGTGTGCCTTTTGACATTTACTTATGTTATGATGTTTGCATCATGTGTTGAAGTACTTGGGACCTCAGCTATAACATTTGCTGAAATGACATATACATTGATGGAAAACCAGGTGATTATCAAAAAGGTATATATATATTGACATGCAGATTGAATCACTTATAATCACCCCGCTGAGAAATCTACTTCCTACAATTTAGGTTCATCACTGTGAGACCTACGCAAAAAATAGATACTGGAAATGTGTGAGTGTGCCAAGAGTTAAGACGGTTCTCTATATTGGAACAACAACGATTGCTTGACCAACTCTTGAGCACTTTACTAAGTTTCAAAGAGGGATGTGAAGATGTTTAGAAGTAACCAGCACACAGAAACAGTAGTTGCACTGGTTGACTGCCATGAGAGACTGACACTATGTTCACTTGTGATCAGCATGATGGATTCATTGCATTATTAATAGTGGATTTATTGCTGGACTAATCAATTATCTTTGCTGTCCTGTTTTTTCATGCTTACCCTGTTGCTGCTTTGTACAACTGAATTTCCCCACGGGGATTAATAAAGGTCCATCTTATCTTAATTACCTGCATTAGTTTTAACTATGCATGTCAACTGTGTATATATAAAACACAGGCAAAATACATTTTCAGCAAGTTGACAATGCATGTGGAGTTAAAAAGAAAGTACAGAAATGTTTGCACAGTAGCTGCTGTAAGATAAGGTTCAACCAATTACTTTATAGTGATATCATAATCATGCAGTCAGACATTAAAAGGGCAGTCAGTTGCAGGGACTTCCTTGTCATTGCAGTAAGGTTACAGGCAGCCAGAGCTATAGTTAAAGATGCCCTGCACAGAAGTACTGGCCGAGAGTCCCGGAACAGAAGTCCAATTAAAACCACGGATAGTTTTATTTTTCTGACAACTAGATACAATGTGTGAATTAATGAGCTTACAGAGCTGCTGGAAGGTTATTTATAAACCCAGGAGAGAATCAGGCTGACTGTTCCCCCATGCTTCTTGTTCTAAATAAACAAAGCTAAGCTAAGCACCTTGCACAGACAGGACAGTGCTATTGCTTTCCGTATTTAAAGCTCTGAGAGTAAGCAAATAAGCACATTTCTCAAAACGTTGAACAATTCCTGTTTAGTACAGGCTACCTTATTGATTGGCACTCTCAGATTTGTTACTGTAGCAGACAAACGCTTGACACTTGAACATGACATTGAGACAACAGAAAGTCTCAAACTTTTTCCATCAAACAATTACACTAAATCAAGATGGAGACACAACAGAACACAAAACAAAGCGCCTACTTCAACAGCAGAGCAACAGCGAGACATTCACACACTCAAAACAGCAAACTACAAGGTGACATCCAAACAATGAAAAGCTACGTTTAACCGTTTTAATGCCAAACTCATACACTGGCACTGTGTATAGCCTTGTGTGTTTTTGGCTTCAATTACCTTAACGCTTCTATTTATTCATCGCCACTTCATCACATTACACAGACATGTATCCTAGTCGTTTTATCTTCGTAAGCAAAGGTTGTAAACACAGTCTGTGTGCACATGTCCAGCTTTTCTAAGCTCTTAGCAAACACATAAGTTAGCTAACAGCCAACAAAACAAGTGGCATTTAACCGACAGCTTCTACCGTAACAACGAGGACAATTCATCGACCAAAATAAGCAGCGTTACATTTCCGATGTGAGTTTTACCTCAAGAGATTTAGCAGAAAGAGATATTCAAGAACATAGCTGACTTACTTTGGAAGAAGTCGTTTCACAGCCCTGGTAATGCGCGCCGCCATGTTTCTTTCGATGACGCGTTAACAGAGCAAGCAGCAATTGGCTGCACAAATATTTGCCTCGTTCTGATCGAGCTTTGTGATTGCTCAGAGCATGAAGAGGGGCGGGGTCATGGAGGACTCTTCGCACATGGGAAGGTAAACAGCGACCATACAGTGAGATGGTCCTTTTGGGAGAAGGAGAGGAAGGGCAGAGGATGGTATTTATTTTCCGAGGGAACTTATCCGAACAGTTTAAATAAAATAAAAATATAAACAAATTGGAAGATAATTTAAAATAAATAATAAAAAATGACTTTGAATGAAAGTTATAGTTATATACAAAAACACTGGTTCCTGCTAGACAGAAGAGACAGAGACAAGCTTGAAACGTAGAGAAATAGGAGAGAGGAATAAAGGGAAAGGGATATTTTGAGCACAAGTCACGTCACCCCAGGAGTTCTCTCTCACAGCAGTGGTGAATTACTACTACTAACATCAGCAAGGTCCGAGTGTTGTGCACAAATGACACGCAATATTTGCCACGATTAAGTCAGCAGGGGATTTGCTCCAAATGTCAGCATTCAGGGGACAACAATTGGGCTTTGGGTGTTTTCAAAATGTAAATGTGCTGCTAAACTTACTTGATGTAGGTTGTAGAGACACATTTATAAGGTGGTACACTTTTGAATAGAAAAAAAAGAGGGAAAAAGTCCACGATGACCCTTTCTTTGTCTTGCATGTTTTGGGGAAATGGCCTTCCTTGGCTTTAGAGATCATGACAAAGCAAAATAAAAAGTTTTGTTAATTTATTTAAAGTTTATAGTTTTCCCATTTTTCCAGAGACCAGCAATCTGATTTATTTGTACATTATTTGAACTCACAAGTGGCTTTATTTGTATTTCTTGGTCTGGAACCAGGTGACCAGGTCACTGAATAAAAATGAGTGGTCAATCAACCTTAACAAAAAAAACCTTTTTTTGGCTGTTATTCCTCCTTTTTTTCTTTCCCAAATGATTGCATTTACATGAGACATGAGTTGAAACATGTTTTAATGGGTTTGCATTGCGCTTTCATTTTAAAGAAAGCCTATGAACCACCAATTTAATGTGATTATTTGACATTATACCCTCCCCAGGTCATTTAACAGATAAAATATATTCTTAATATACGGTACGTAAATGACAGAAACATGGAAACTTGGATTTTTTCTTTTTAAATATATATTTGATCCCCAAACAAAGGGAGCTTATTCGGGCATCCATTTCTACATGGGAAAAAAAAATGCAACGGAGTTGGAAAATTCCATCCATGGGTTACTTAGAAACTACTTATTTCCCTCCCCCTTCAGTTCATCGAACACAATTGTTGTCTACTAATCCAGTTTTGATAGCATTTGGCACACTTTCTTTGGATCACAGTAGGATGCTCAACTTCCATTCTGGTCTCCCCTAGGAACCTCTGAGCCCAAGAAAGCAGCCGACACCAGGTCGCGCCAGAGCAGGGGGGTTCTCTGTATCCTCATAAAGCACAGAAAATTATGTTTTGATTCAAGTCACCCCTTGCCACATGCACAGACAGACACACACACATTCATCAATCTGGTTGTTAATTTAAAATATATGCTGAATATGTGTTTATTCTTGTCAATCTGTTATGTTGTTAAATGTTGCAATCACCTAATGACCCCCCTGTAAGGCAATAGAATATAAAATATTATGTCAAAGGCAAGAGCTTTTCGCCTTTGTCCCCCCTCTGTACTCCCTGATCCAAATGGACAATGCATCACTAGGCCTGGATGTCTCAGAAGTCTGGGTTCATTAAAATCTTGAATGAGTGCCAAAGCTGTAGTCATAGATAAAAGGAATATGAAAGGATAACGAAATTTATGGATGGCAAGTCACCACCTCACCCTGGCATTTATAATAAACAAATGGTTTCTGTTTCCAATTTAAATTTCTCATTATACTGTGACTTTTGGAAAATGTGTTTTGATTTACCAACATTTTATCTGAAAAACTGTATAATTGATTAGATTTACATGGCTCTGATTTTAATGCTGATCGCCTGCCTTCCCCAGCAGCCCCCACCCGAGCCCAACACTCAACAAAAAAGAATGATCCGAACCGCTCCTGAGGCACATTAACATCATATAAAACAAACCTACATATCAAACAGTTATTTTCTGATGAAATAATTGGCTTTAACCAGCATAGAATCCAATTCATCCCTTTGAAAGAAACTTCAGTGAGGGCACCAAAAAAAAAAAAATAGTGAGATAGACTTCACAGCCCGAGTGAGATGGACATCAATGCGGTGTGCCAGGAATGGCTATATTAACCCATGGCTAAATCCCATCACACAAATGTCAGTGTATCCGTTATGAAACCATGACATTTAGATCCAAGGTCTCCATTGTGGTTTTAGAGGGAGCTGATGTTTGTCCATTCTTTGCATCCATCAAACCCGCACACAGCCTCACAGCCAACTGCACTCTTAACACACAAAGGTTAAAGATCATAAGGGCTTATGTATCTAATTTTATTGCATAATACATGGCATGGTTTATGTCATTTTTATGATCTCACATTGATTTCCTCTTTGGATATTCCTTCACAAAATTAAAAAATATTTAGATTTTTTTTAATATCAAGTTTGACCAAGTAACTGTTCACTAATAAGATTGTGTTTAATGGCAATGACACAGGTTTGCAATAAAACAATGGACATCTTAAAAAAGTACTTTTGTTGAAGTATTACCTTTTATTAAAGAAAAGAGAAGAGATTATTACATATTTTGATATAATATATATATATATATATATGGCAATGATGTCTGTCTACCTAAATATAAGTTACACTGTATTTAATGTTGATATTTTTTTCCAGTTGTTTTTTCCAGAAAGGTCCATGAATCATTGTCAGCAGCTGTAACATTTCCAAGAGCAACTTCTATTTTACCCAATCTTCCCAAACATCATGACTATCACCGCAACACACCAGGGGAGGCCCAATCTGACACATTGCAACCACTCTTAAGTCATGTGTAATGAGGAGAAAATTCACATTCAAGAACCGGACAATGTGTCATAAAGCTCTCATGTTAAGAGTCCAACACCTTTAAGCCACTTGGCTGAGAATCACGAGATGTTTAATTATTGCCTCCTTACATTAGCTTGGATATCCCACCTCAGGCATCGGTTTGGGGGTCAGGCTGTGGGGTGCTGTGGATGAGAGGGGCTGAGACTGGTTGAGATGGTGAAGAGGAATAAAACCCCTTCATTACCAGTGCTCTCTCTCTCTCACTCTCTGTCTCTCTTTCTCCTACCAACAGCAGTCCAGATCGGGAATTACAAATGATATCATGACCATTTTTCACGCTTTTCGAACCAGTGATGTTTTACCGACTCATTTGCTATGATACCTTGTTACGGATCCAGCTGTGAATCAGGGACGTGTCATGGGGCTGGAAGCCCACCGCCTGCTGCGCCTGGCCAATGACCTGGAAGGCAATAGGGGATGCCAGTGCCTGCAGCATGTGCTGCACTGACAAAGCAGCAGGGCACCGTCAAAACCCCTCTCATACAAACTTTGCAGATCACTCCGTTTTTAACAGATGAGTAAGCACTGGGGCTGACTTTTTTTCTCTGCCCTAACACGGGGTTTATGGATTTCCCTTTGCGAGTCTGTGTCTCTGGTTGACGCATGGCAAAACCCTTGCCCACAAGGGGAATGGTGTAGTGGTGGATCTGGGATAGAGGGATGCAGATAGCATGTGGCAGGGTCACTGCGCAGGTTAAGCAACAATTCAGTTGAGTGCCTGTAAAGGAAGTGGAGTATGGTTGGAAAAGACCAGCACACCAGCTAAAGAGGCCACACTATCCAGATTAAACTTTGGCCTTTGAACATAATTTACAACATCTCCTGTGCACTTTAGGTGGTGTATGTTTATGGACTTAAACATGAGCAAATACAAGTGAATATTTCATATTACATTACATGTCATTTGTTAGACGCTTTTATCCAAAGCAACTTACATACATTCAGTACTGTGGACAATCCCCACAGGAGCAATTTGGGGTGAAGTGTCTTGCCCAGGGACACAACGACATGCTGACTGCAGTGGGACTTGAACTTGCTACCCCCTGATTCGAAGTCCAGCACACTGTCCACTGAGCCACAGCCTCCCCTCATATCTTTCAGATCATTATATGGGAACATCTTAGAGATATTTATCCCAAAACAAATCAATCCCAAACTAAATTATGTAATCCAATCAGACAAAGAAGCAATTAATCCATTCATTAATCTTTTCATTCTTCAACAGGAATTCAATGAGGTTAAGGTTGTTTGGGTTTCCAGATGAAAGCCCTCACGCAATCCCAGGCCCTGATGACTTCTGCATTACTAGAATGATGCGGTCGGGACTGATGGAGCTGAGAGTGTCAGGAGGCATTAGCCTTCACAACCCAAAGCTGGTGGACAAAACCCGCCTGCGCCCCCTGACCCAGTCCACCGCCAAGTTACTGACCCAGCAATCATGAGAGAAACTGGAAGGAGCAAAGCTATAAAGTAAAGAAAAATGTTCGGGCTAACCAAAATGGAAAAAAAAGATGAATACGTATTCCAGTTGAGAGATACAGGCAGAGAACAGGAGCAACAAATACAAATATTGTGCCTCTGACTTTCCTACATGTTACCCAAATCACAAGAAATTGTTTTAAGGGCTTTTTTCCCGTTCGGTTCACTCTGATTCCCCCTCTCTCACTTCATTTAACTGATTTAATGAGCAGGTCCAGCCAGAGTCTTCAGAATATTAACTTATTGGGCACACGCTATTTTGTTGAGGGATTGAGCTTTTGTTGTTCAGTATTTAGGTGGTGATTCTGCAATAATTAAACATGTTTACTGTGGTTATCTTGAAATAGATGCCACTTTGAGGTGCTTTGGTAGATGAAATATGAGCTAACAAAGTTAAAGATGCAAAAATGACAAAGAAAAAACTAAATCATAACACTTTCTTTCACGATCGACATCTTCTAGTGTGGGCAGTGGCTTG